CAACCCCGCTGCCCCGCAGGGTACCCCCGCCACCGCACCACCGGCTCCGCAACCCCGACACAGATGCCCGCCAGCACATCCCCGCCCCCGCGCTGCGGCAACCCCGCTCCCGCCAAGGGAGGTCCGCGCCCCCAGGGGGGACCATGTGTCGGGCCATTTTTTGCAGGACACAAAAAATGCCGGGATCCTGGGTGCCGACCCCTGGAACCCCGGGACCCCGGGGGTCGACAACGCTGGTGTGAGGTTATATATTGTTCTTATTTAGGATTTAATGACTAAGTGGTTCGTGTGAGTTTATAGGTGTCTGGGTACATGGGTGTGGATACTGGGTTATAGTCGCCCGGGGCGGAGGCGGGGGTGGTGGTGGGGAGGTAGCTATGGGTGCGTTCGTGTTAAGTGAGTTATATCAGGAATAAGGAATTTGCGGGTGGTGTGAATTTATAGGTGTCTAGAAAATCCGAGGCTATGGTTGATAAGGGTGGAGGGGGGGTAGTGGGGATATTGATTGGAGTGCATCGTAGCAGGGCGAGGGTGTTTAATCAGGATTACAAATCTAAAGGTAGGTGTGGGTTTATAGGTGTCAAGGTAAGGAAATATAATTACAGGGCTATGGTTGAGTGGGGTGGAGGAGGGGTTGGAGGTGTGGAGGTTGAAAGGAGTATGTCGTGGATAGATGGGTGATTATTGCGGATTGCGTACTCATTTCGGTCGTGTATCACAGGATCAATCATGACAAGTTAGCAGATCCAAGCATGTCGTGTCAGGTGCAATGCTATTATACTTATACTGTCAGGTGGGGAGTCTACCCACACCATTGTATCAGGGCTCAAAAGCCAGTGTGTGTTTCGTGTGACAAATTGCAAAGCAATTTAACAACTTGGCTTAGCCAGGAACAGTATTGAAAATAATAGCATATCATTGTCACGATTGAGCATAGTTTTTTGCTATTTCATTGCATGGGTCACCTTCGTACACGTATAGCTATAGCCAGCCATTTCCTATTTTCACATTGCCATTTACCACTAAACATACATGGGGGGCGAAGAAAAAAAGTGGGGAGGGGAAAGGAGAAAAAGGTGGGGGCAGGAAGAGCAGAAGGGGTTAGGAGAAGATAACACTTCTTCAACAGGAAGAGGAGAAGGGGTTAGGAGAAGATGACATTTCTTGTACATTCGTCTGTTGTTTTTCAACAACAAACAAAAATTCCAGAATTAAATAATCATTCTATAATAAAATTACATTCTAAATTTCAAATTTTCATTCCATCTTAAAAAATGTCATTCCAATTTAAAAATTTTCCATCTTACTTGAAAACTTTTATTCCAAGAATGGGGTATCCCTTCTTATTTGAACTGCATGCTAGAGATGAAACGAAAGTCTGGATGAGTTCATGAAATATTTTAATTGGACTGTCATTCTGAGCAAGGATTTTCAATCATGAGTATGTTAATCCAATCTAAATTAGAAGATCTTTGTTGTAATAGAATGAAAATTTAATTAAAATCTTTCATAAACTCGTCCAGACTTTCATTCCATCTTGAACAAATAGATGTAGTTGGAAGGGAAAGTTCATATTTAGACTGGAACTTGTCAAATAAAACTGAAAATTTCATAATTGGACAACCATTGGAATTATAATTGATCAACATGAAGGATTTTTCTTTTTTGGAATATTTTTTTCAACTTTCATTTCTCTTGGGAATTTTTCTGTTGAAGTCTACCGTTAGTGGGTGCTTGTGCTAGTAGTTTGTTTTTTTTGAAGATTTAGTCGTATATGGGTTTCTATATTTCGTTTTTCTGTCGGGGTGTACTGGTGTATGCTTCAGCTTTAGCGCCAGTGTGCTTACCTGTGGTTATTTTGTAGGAAACGGGTTCTCATTTCTTGTTTCTTTATTGGGCCGTATGCATTTTTTTTTTGTTGGGGGGGTGGTTTCTTTTGTATAGAGGCCTGCTTTTATTATGGGATTCTGTCTAATACGTGGTGTTTTTGTGCTTGTGTTAATGCGTCTTTCAGGCCCTATGTGTGTGCGTGTGTGTGCGTGCGCAGGTGTCTGTTCATCTTTCTTAGTTTGTTCTGCGTATTTATTTATTTTATAATGGTCCGTATGTGTAAGTTTCGCGTGGATGTATGTGTGTTTCGACTTGGTGTGTGCATGTAATATCTTATTTACTCTTTTTATGAGCCTAAATGTATCACCATATTCATATGTGCGTGTTTGTAAGTGTGTGTTTATTCTATTCATTGTGGGTCTGTATATACGTGTATATGTGTATGTGTGTATGTATATGTGTCTAAAAACATAATAATAATAATAATAATAATAATCCTTATAATCCTAATAATTTCTTATACGTTTTATGTGTATGAGTATATGTGTATGTGTGTGTGTGCATGCGAGGGTGTTTGTGTCTGTGTGTGTGGGTGGGTGCGTGTGTGGGTGGGTGTGTGGGTGGGTGTGTGTATGGGTGTGTGGGTGTGTGGGTGTGTGGGTGTGTGTAC